GAAGGGCAGCTGGAAGGCCCCAATCGACCCTGATCACTGGCCAGGCCTAGGGACCCTACCCGTGCACAAATTTCATATACCGGGCCTCTAGTGTTAATGTAAAAAGCAGGATACCTTGCATTAGTGGTGTAAATATAGGTCCTTTCCCCTCTCCACTGTTTCAACCATAACCGTTTGGTGTTTTTTAATTACATATTTTTTTATTGATTTCACAGAGAAAGGGAGAGGGAAAGATAGAAGCATCAATGATGAGAGAATCATTGATTGGCTATGTCCTGCACGATCCCTTCTTAGGTATCAAATCCACAACCCAGGCATGTGTATTCCTGGTTCATAGGTTGACACCCAACCACTGAGCAACACCAATCAGGCCATAATTGTTTTTGTATCAAAAATTTTCTTTTAAAGTATTTTTTAAAACATATTTTTATTGATTTCAGAGAGGAAAAAAGGAGAGATAGAAACATCAATGATGGGAGAGAATCATTGATTGGCTGCCTCCTGCACACTCCACACTCGGGATCGAGCCTGCAACCCGGTCATATGCTCTTGGCCGGAATTGAACTCGGGACCCTTCAGTCTGAAGGCCAAACTCTACCCAATTCAGCTAGGGCAAGAATTTTCTTGGTAAATTACCTGGCTTTCTGCATTTTTTCTAAATGCACAGTATTATAAGTTCTGAAATCAAGTTACAGACTTAACCCTTTTCGGTCCAACGTGGAAGCCGACTTGACAGACCAGGCACTAGGAGCAGGTCCAACGTCAAGGCTGAGACACCGCAAACCGGTTCAACATTCAATCCCATCAATTAATTTGGACCAGACTGTTTGAATTCCAGAAATAAAATTGGACCGCAAAGGGTTAAATCCCTGTTTTCCCATTGCAACTTAATTTCATCATTAATTATAAGGAAAATTTGTTTTACAGGTTCAAAGAAGAAGAAAAATGCCAAGCCTTTAAGTTTTAAGGTTGGAATAGGCAAAGTTATCAGAGGAGTAAGTAAAAAATGGCAGTGTGTCAAGAGATTCTGGCACGTGCTACTTGTGGCATGGTACTATAAAGAATTAGGATTGGGGATATCATGAAAACAAGCTTTGGAGTATGACAAATTTGTGCTATCATCACTAACTGTTCTGGCACAAATTAGTAAGGTCTCTAGGTCTCAGTTTCCTCATCTATAAAATAAGGACTGTACAGCCTATCTCAAGGTTACTCAAAGATTAAATGAACATAATTTAAATCATGTAATATAGCAGAGACTCCAATATTCCAGCCTACCTCTTATCTTTTCCTTCAAAAATTAATTTTTAGTGTGTTTAGCTTTTTAAATTTCTTGTAGATTCTTGTAAGATGTTGCATGGCTGTTGTACCACTTATAACATGATCAATAAAGGTAAAATATCTGTTCCACTGAAGTACTAATAAAAGCAAGAGTTTGTTCTATAGCCCTCACCTCTCACAACTTAGGCTCAAACACCAGAAAATCTTTCAAACATAAGTATACCTTTATCCAACTTTCCCTGTGAGATAACAAGAAAACTTTGAAAAGGGGAAGTTAGCTGTACCTGACCACTGCAGTGTACAAGAAATGTAAGAGTAGTACTGATTATCAGCTTCATTGAATCGGGTTGTCATGCTAGGGCCTACTTATTTTAATTTGTCTTTACTCAGGACACCAAACATTAATAACTGAAACACATATTTAAATGAAGTTATAAGAACCTTCAGTGTATTTATCTTTTTAAGTCTTAAAATAGGATTCAATCATATCGAGGCCAAAATATAAAATAATTTGGAACTAAAGGCTTAGTTGGAAATAACCTTAATGCTACCTGATTATACTAAGTTGAGAGCAATTGTCAGGTTGAGCTATTTTTCTATTTTTATATCTAATTTGCTTACTGGTAAATTTCTTCTAGTTTACTTTCTTAATTTTCAGTATTTGGCACATCTCTCTGTCCCTTGAACTTCATGAACAGTTACATTTCAACAGAGTATACATTAAGTCATATTCTTCTATATCCTTTCAGTGTATTTATTTAACTATTTTTGGTAACTGGCTTTAAGATCCAAATTTGGACAAAATGTAGCAGCAATCCAGAAATCTCTCACTTTGAGTAGTTTCACCTTCTACAAAATATATTAATGCTCTAGCATGTACTTTGTCTTTAACCATTATGACTCCACTATTAACAATTTGGTAATCTTAAGATAGTTTTAGAGATAGTACTTGTTAGTTTATCCTTATAAAAATAATTTCAGAAATTTGTCCAAGGATATAATAGTGTAGCAAAGAAATTATAGTGCTAATAAACTAGTTTCCATGTTTCCACATTACAGTTTACAAAAGTGCTTTTACATTATATCATTTAAGGCATTTCAGTATTATATTTTAAAAAATGGTTTAATATATCCTTTTATCATTGAGGAAATAAAGGACAATGATTTGAGGACTCTCCCAAGGGCATTACCATTTATGACATAATGAAATCCAGTAATAAAATGTTTTTCTGTATGTAACCTTACCTGTCTTCTGATTCCACATGTATTTTTGAGAATCATTAGTTTGATTCTGTATTCTTGCCTTTAGTGGGATGAAGCGCTCTTGACTATGAGTAAAGGAGAAAAAGCTCGACTAGAAATTGAACCAGAATGGGCTTATGGAAAGAAAGGACAGCCTGATGCCAAGTATCCTTTTTTCCTTTGTAATTAAAGGAAATACACTAAAAAGGATCACCTGAAGGTATGAAAGATGCTATCTAGGTTAACCTCCAGATCAGGAATCCTGTTCAGACCGGAATTCCTGATTTAGATGCTTTTGTGTCAACACCTCCAATATAGACAATACTGGAGGCCCGGTGCACAAATTCGTGCACGGGTGGGGTCCCTCTGGGTGGCCTGCAGGGATAGGGCTGAAACCTGCAGTCCCACGCTGCCTACAGCTCCTACTTGCTTCTCCAGCTCATCCTGGCTCCACTGTGCCTGCCACAGGCTCACGTCTAATCAGTCCCTATCGGGAGAGGCTCATGTTGCAGTAGCAGCACTCACCAGCCATGAGCCCTGCATCTGGTGCCCTCCCAAGGGAAATGGCCTGCAGGATTGGGCTGAAACCAGCTCTCTGACATCCACTAAGGAGTCCCAGATTGTGAGAGGGCACCGGCCAGGCTGAGGGACCGAAGGAGGGCTCCAGGGCATGTCCAAGCCATCTCGCTCAGTCCCGATCCCAGCAGCAAGCTAACCTACTGGTCGGAGCATCTGCTCCCTGGTGGTCAGTGCATGTCATAGTGAGCAGTTGAGCAGCCATAGCATATTAGCATATTACGCTTTGGTTGTTCAGTTCTGCTGTTTGTTCTATTTGCATATTACCCTTTTATTACATAGGATTATGTATTGGTACAAAGTATTCAAACTTGAGCTGGAATATCCTTTCTTCCTCTTACTCATGCTCTTAATTTTTAAGATGTAAACTGTGAGATTTAAGTTTTCCTCTGTGACAGGCAATTGTTTGAAGGGTTTACTTTAAGAGTTAAGATGCCCAATACAAACAACTGTAGCATATTGTAGAATGCAGATATGTCTCATGGTATTTTTGCTACAGTGTAATTTCAGGCAATTATAAAAATGAAACACATGTTGGGGATTACCAGTTGTGAAATGAAGGAGAACATGGGTTCAACATGCTGTAAGCTTTTGTGATCAATACTAATGACAGTATACTTTTTTTCTGATAAAAAGAAAAAAAAGAGCCATGACTCCAGACCATTCCACCAGAACTAAATGGTTACTAACAGCTAAGTGGGAAGGTAGTTTTTTTGTTGTTGGTTCCATTCCCATTGTAAGTTTGGAAAAAAAGTTTTTGGAAGTCCTCTGTGGTCTTACCAATTAAAATTATTTGGGAATATAATAGTCTCTTCTAAGCCTATTAAAATGAGTTGGCTAGCTGCAGCTCTCTCTCTGTGAAGCATGTTAAGATCAATCAGATAAAAGTCACACTCTTCTCTAAACTCACCATTTTAAAACAGCAAATATCAGGTATTAACTCATATGAACTTTGATTTAATATATACCCACCTAGATTGAAAAAAAAATTTTTTTTTTTGAATACTGAATAACAAGTTTTCATTAAGTGGTTGCTAAATTGGGAGTACTAGTTAGGCATCCAGATAAGGAAGATCCCAGCCAAGCTAAAGCCTAGTCAGCCTATAATTTCTATTTACAAAGGGATCTCTATTAGGAACCACTATGCTTGGAATGCATTAGCCTATGAGTCAGCTACAAAGCCTTTTTCTTTGTAGTTAATTGCCAATATCCAGTCTACATAATTCTAATTTTAGACTAAGATTGGGAATGAGAAGCAATTTTATCATATTTACCTTAACTTCTTGAACAGAATCCCACCAAATGCAAAACTCATTTTTGAAGTGGAGTTAGTGGATATTGATTGAAACAGCAATGCTTCTGATCTAAAGACATCAGCCATAGCCTTGAAGAAAGTTACGTAACTAATTACAGCTGGTTACTATTGTTATGGAAGTGAACTGGAAAATTCATAGTTACGTTAGAACTTGTTTACTTTCTCCCAAAAATTAAGAAATGTAATCTGTTATAAATCCCTGCAGTTTAAAATATTTTACTACAGCTGTGTAAAGTACTGGTTAAGGAGAACTTTTCCTTTTACCTCATGTTGTAAACTAAAAGGCTCAATAAAAATGTACCGAATGTCTTGATTTGTTTGGTGTTAATGTTCTGATTAGGTTAACCAGGACTAAGGCTTCATCAAACCAGGGAGCAGCAGTCAAATTGTTTGGAGAGCTTTGCCAGACATTCATTTAAAACCTTTAAATATTTCTGTGTAGTGAGAAGATAAAAGCACAGAGATTGAGAGGAATGAAAAAGATAAAAGGTCTAAGAAATTATAATAAGATTAATAGCTGAATATAACAGCTTTATATAAATATAAAGTTAATAGGTGATCCCCTAAATAAATTCATAACAACTGGTGGATGAGTCTTCAGTTTTATTACAAAAATGTAGATGATCAGTTTGATCAAAATGAAAGCTTGTTCACAAATTTACATGAATATTGTAAATACAAAGTCTTCTGAAACAACATAAGTTTTGATACAATATTCATTTTTTAAAGGGATGCAAACATTCGATTTTCTCATTTGTAATCTCTATACCATGACATACTATTTTAATAGTGTGTATCTTTCCTGCAATTAAATCAAAATTCACAGGGATAACTGAAACACGCAGACAAAGCCTGGTCAATAAAGGTTAAAAATCCATTTTTTGGTGTGTTTTTTTTTTTCTCTTTTTACAGAGAGGTAAATCCTTAATAACCAGCCCTTTATGTATTTTCAGACTCTTGTACTACACTGACATGATTTGCAGTCAGTTTTTTTCCCACCCTTAAGGCTACAAAACTGTTGCAAATGCATTGCAAAAGAATTCTAGACCACTTAATGCAAAAATCAAAAAAATAGTTCTCCAATAAAAAGTAAACTTTATAAATGGTAGGAAATAGTATCTGTGGTAAGCTACTAAGTGACATTTTCCCTAATACTAAAAGCATATGTTACACAGAAACAGGGAAGACAAGTTGTCAAATATGACAAGCCAATGTTTACATCTCTTGTTGAAAAAAAATAACATTATACTTTCCACACACTCCATCTGATATTTATATTTTCCCATCAAGTTGGAGGGGGAGGATAATACTGTCCATAATTCCAAGGATTCTGGTAATTGTACTGAAAGGAAAAAGCAAACATGTTAGCATACCAGAACTATGGCTGAGCTCATACAAAATAATTAAAGCAGGTATGTGTAAGAAAACAGGCATGTATTCACTTGTAGAAATTCCAAGACTTAACCACAAAGATAATGTATTATACCATCTGAAACAGAAGACCTGTTTTTTTCTAAAATAAAAAAGACTGCCCTAATTTATGCTTTTCTAATAACATATATGAACAAAAAATTCATTTATAATTATGTAAACTCACTTGATACCAGGCACTATAATTATATGCAGCTTGATTTGCTTGTAAATCACCATCAATCAACTGCGCAGAGGATGCAGTTGTATCTTCTGTGTGTGCTTTTTTTTCCTCTGGTTCTTCTGATCTATATAAAAGGTCAAAGTGGAACTTTTAACAGCTCTTACAATAAGTACTTTAACAAACAGATAAATGTCACCTGTGTACATTTATTTTACTCATGTTTTCAACCACTCAAGAGTTGTATACAATTTTTTCAAATCATGAAAATAAAGTATCTCAATTACAACATAAAGGAAACAATTTTAAAATATATATTTATTGATTTCAGAGAGGAAGGGAGAGGGAGAGACAGAAACATCAATGATGAGAGGGAATCAATGATCTCTTGCCTCCTACATGCCCCACACTGGGTAATGAGCCCACCAGTGGGGCATGTGCCCTGACTGGGAATTGAACCATGACCTCCTGGTTCATAGGTCGACGTTCAACCACTGAACCACACTGGCCTAGCAAAGGCAACATTTAAAAATATGTCTTCTCGCCGAAACCGGTTTGGCTCAGTGGATGGAGCATCGGCCTGCAGACTGAAAGGTCCCAGGTTCGATTCCGGTCAAGGGCATGTACCTGGGTTGCGGGCACATCCCCAGTAGGAGATGTGCAGGAAGCAGCTGATCGATGTTTCTCCCTCATCGATGTTTCTAACTCTCTATCTCTCTCCCTTCCTCTCTGTAAAAAATCAATAAAATATATATATATAAAAAAAAATGTCTTCTCTGTTCTTTTCTCTCTCTAAAAAACATCCTCAGGTGAGCATAAATTATATTTTTCTTTAAAGTCATTTCCACAGTGAAAAATGTCATCTTTTAAACATCCTTTCCTGATTCAACAAATATGTACATACCCATTTTCTGCTTTCCTTTTCAAAGAATCCTGTTCTTTTAGGAGTGTTTGATGCTCATCATAAGCACTCAGAAGCCTGAGAAGGAATTAAAAAAAATCCATTGAAATATACAAAACCCAAAATGTTAATTTTAAAAATTTATTTCTACTTAGGAAAACAAAATATATTGCAATAGACATCCTTTTATTTATATATTTTTTTAAATGAGCCAGCAGCCTAATCTGTCCTCAGCTACCTTTTTTTATCTATTTCCTTTGAGACACCATTGCCCTATACTTTTCTTCTCACTCTATGTGGTTCAAAGATATAGGCCTGGCTAGTAACATTATACCCCTGGGCCAATTAATGGTTTAGAGGTGAGAATATGACCCAAAGCAGGGGTCCCAGAATTTTTTATGAGCTACTGGAAAAGTATTTTTTGTACTACAGTTGTCTAAAGCTGATGGGATGCTGGCCAAGTTTATGATTTATAATACATGGGGAGAACCTGCCTTCGAATCTACGACACAACTAAGACAAGGATCTTGATGTTTTTGTCAAAGGCAACATGAGACCTGACAATTCTACAATTTGTATACTTTTGAATCTAATGTAACAATGCTATTGAAGACACCTGCATTTAGGATAAAATGCTTTTAAAATTTGGCCATGTGATAAAATTGAATTAGAACTAATGTAAAACTATAGTATAATTGGTTACCATTGATTAAAAAAATAAGTTTTAACAAAATTCTGATGTGACATATGTAAAACTGTTAATACCAGTAATCTCGGGTCAAATGTTTACTCATTTTCAAGCACTTTAAATGGACTAATTTCCTTAAGGCCTTTAACAACCTGTGGGTTAGGTGATACAGAGAATCTCCATGTGAAAAAATTTGAAAATAAGAATACACAAATCAGTAAGTGACAGAGCTAGGATTTAAGCCTGTATTTGTCAGAATTCAACATTAATTCTTACCAATTCATTATACTGCTACCTAAATTTTTAAGTGCCTCACTTACTTTTCACATAATACCTTTCTAAAAATTTCAACAACATACTACCGAATACTAAAGGTCCTCAATAACTGTACTTGTAAGGACCTAATTGGCATCTTTGTATTGAACTTCCGATTTGTCTGCATATTATTACCAAATTAACATGTCATTTAATCTCAATAAAACCACTAATAGTTTCCTACTGTCAATTGTGTACTCTCCATGTTCTCTGAACTCAAACTAGCTTTCAAAGCACAGAATGAACAAACATCACTTCTCCTTCAGCAGATGTTATTTGTATATGAATTTTAACTTGCTTTTACATTTTATCCTCTTCTTAGTTTATCAGTATCCAGTACTTAATTAAATGAAGCCCTACCTCCCCTATGAAGGATGATAAATCCATTCTGATTCAGAGCCTTAAAACTTATATGTCACCTCATACACATGTATATCCTCTGAGCACCATCCCATCCAACTAGACTAAAAGCTAGAATTACATATTCCATTTCTTTTAATTTCTTCAGTGCAAAACAAACAGAAGACATTAAATATACAGGACATGAGGTGCTTAAGAGCAGACTGTGAAGTAGGTTCTGAATCCAGCTGGCACAATATTAATAACTAATCCCAGATGCACAATGTAATAGCTAAGTGACCTTGGAAAAAAATCCCTAATCTTTCTTTAAACCCTTTTTCATCCATTGAAAGAATAACAGTACCTATACCCCTCATCAGATTGCTATGTATTTTACATTAGATAATTCTTACAAAACATTTAATTGAAGCCAAGCACATATATATACCATTGTGTTAAAATGTAACTCATGTTAAATGATTTTTAGTTTAAAATTTTACTAAGCCATCAAGAATGTATACACACACATGTAAGTACACAGACACAAAACTAATTCTTATTTTATCAACAGCTGTTTCAATGGAAATAACTCTAAATTAGAATAATTAGAGAAGGCACATGTCTAACAGAAACTGGGATATTTCCTTACTAGAATCATGTAAGAATGGAATCACAGCAAATAAATTTCTCTAATAAATTTCTACTCTTCTATTTTGCAAGTTTAAATCTTAAACTTGTCCTTTTCCCAAATCCCCTAGAGTGAATCCTTGTACCATCCTCAACTTTCAGCCTTTTACAATGCACAAAGATGAGGCCATTAGGTATCATCTGCAGAACCATTTTCATTCTCTTTTCCAATCTGAAATACAATGGCATTCTTCCAGATTAATCCATCCACCTTTAGTGGTCTATATACCAAATGTTTCTGTGTTTCAAGGTTCAATCCTTAATCCATTTCCTTTTTCATGGGATTGCTGCTTCCTGCCTTCCCTCATCCACTCACTGTTTAAATTACCATGCTAAAATTTTAAGAATACTTTGGAAGGAAATACAAACCGTATTTCCTACGATTAAGCACATACATACATTTACAAAACTGAATTACCTCAGATATACCTGATGAAAAAGTAACCTAGGCAAACATTTTAAATTTAACAATATATTAATTTGTACTAATCATCAAATTCCCAACCAAAACTATCAATGCTCATTTACTATTCAAATAGATAATATATAATTAAGATCTTACTTATTAACATCTGAACCAAAATCTTCAAGAAATTCCACTTTTCTCTGAGAAAATGTAATTCTCATTTTAACAGGTAATGAACCATGTATAGCTTTGTCAAAACAATTTAGGATATTTTCTTCATTTTGTTTGAGGTCACCACTATATTCCATTTCAAGTAAATTGAGATATAACTTTGTGTTCTCCTGTGTAAAAAGTAGTATCGTTAATAACATTTCTTAGATATTTTGATTAGACCACAAATATTTAAAATGCCCTAATTTTGATCTCTCAATTTAAAAAGTTCAACATTGAAAATTGTGTATTAAAATGTAATTTGTGTTATATGTTCTCAGCATTCACTGAATAAGAAAAAAACAATTAGCACATTGATAGCACATCATCTTAGTTATTTCCCAAACAATATGTAAATTGTTCAATGCCAATAAATTAAAGCCCTATATTCTATCTTGAGTTTAATGTGGCTTGACTTCCCATAACAAATATAAACTAAAACATGAAAAAAATGATCTCTGTACATCTCAATAAATTAAATCTTTACAACTGTAGATAATTATCTTAAACAGCTGGAAACAAACAGTTATAAACCTGTCTTACACAGACCTGGGATCAGCTAAAAATGTAAAAAATGAGCTATTTCCCATACACTGCCTATCAACTGATACATAAAAAGGAGAATAATCCTTTGGAAAAGGAGAATAATCTCACTGCTACAATTCCTGTAGGGTAGCTAAGTGCCATGCTTTTGTTCTCCCAAGATCCTCTACTCTACTTAATAATCAGTAAATCTGCTATACAATTTCTAAATGTGGAGAAAATAGAATGTAACAATGTCTGCAACCTTTTAATTGATAATTCAAATTTTTTTTTAAAGAATGGCAACGTCAGTTTAGAGGGACTGTTGTCTTCATTTAGTAATTAAATATATTACATACAGACCAAATCTTTCATCATAGTTGCCAAAATGAAAATTAAGAAACAGAACAAAAAAATGACCACTGGTTTTTCATGGAAGATACTCCAAAAACACAAATACATACTTTGTCTCTTTCAATTGCTTCCAAAAGCACCTTTTTTGATTTTGCAAAGTTTTTTTGTATTTTGAAAAGATGCCGGGCTAGTTTAATAGCATAAAACGATGATTCAGTATTCGATTTGGCATTCTTAATAGCATCCTGAAGCAAATGTTCAGCTTCTTCCATATTTCCATGTCGTCGTTCTAAACTTACTCTTCTCAAACGAACCATTGCCAATCCTAGAACACATTCTTCAAATGTTCTCAAGATATTCCTGGCTTCATTAATATTACCTAGAAATAGTAATTAAATGTTTATGCTTTTGTTTAAACTTTTGAAATATCCTCTAAGCCAGGCATTGCCAAATAACAGCCCATTAGGCTAAATCCAGCCTTCTGCCTGTTTTCTTAATGTTTCTTTTTTTAATTGAAAAAAGTTTTTTTTTCTTTTGAGAGAGAGAAAGGGAGAGATAGAAACATCAATGATGACAGAATCATTGTTGGCTGCCTTCTGCATACCACCTACTAGGAATGGAGCCTGAAACTTAGGCATGTGCCCTGACCGGGAATTGAACTGTGACCTCCTGATTCACAGGTTGATGCTCAATCACTGAACCACACCGGCCAGGCTGCCCGTTTTTAATTTTTAAAAACTGGAATAGATTCTTTTATTTATGTATTATCTACGGCTGCTTCTGGGCTACAATGGCAGAGTTCTGAGGTAAAAAGCTATACAGCTTGCAAAGCCTCAAGTATTTAGTATCTGGCCCTTTACAGAAAAATTTTACTGACATTTACTTTACACTACACTATCCCTTAACATTCAATTCCTGTATCTTCATCCAGAAGTAAAATCCCCCAAAATATCAACTGTTTCCTCATTCTTACCCTGCTGTTCCTCAAAAGCTGCCCAAAGCATATGCACCACAGGTTTCTTTGGGAGATGAATAGTGCAAGCTCTGCTGAAGACATGCCTCACTCCTTCAATGCTATGGTTTTCCATGTACTTGGCATACTACATATAGAACAGAGGAAATACTGAATAATTTAAGTTGAACCAGCCATTAAATATGTGACAGAACGATAAAATTCTATTTTTAAACCCATTCAGCACCTTTATTGAACCACTAGACTAGTTTCTGTAAGGAAGGACGAAGAGAGGCAACGAGGTTGGCATATGCAGCAGTCAAATCTGGTTGCAAGCAGACCATCTCCTAATGCAACAGATATAGTTATATGAACAACATTCAACAGAAGTACAAAAAAGGTTAGTCACTAGTCAATGTTTATAATATATTCAAGTTTCAGAGCATGTAATTTTCTTACCTTAATCCAAAACTCCTCATAGAGGGCACATGATATGACACATCTTTCAAAGAGAACCACAACTCGTTCATGAGTCCCATTTTCAATTTCAAATTCTAAGTATTCTTTCCAGTTTTTTAATTGTGCCTTTTCCAATGGTTTCACATGAAAATAAGGTCTTTTAATCTGCAATAAAGTGACATGGCAATTAAAGTAAACCAACATTGCCCTAGCTGGTTTGGCTCAGTGGATAGAGCGTCGGCCTGTGAACTGAGGGGTCCCAGGTTCGATTCTGGCCAAGGGCACATGCCTGGGTTGCAGGCTCAATCCCCAGTGTGGGGTGTGCAGGAGGCAGCCGATCAATGAGTCTCTCTCATCATTGATGTTTCTATCTCTCTCTCCCTCTCCCTTCCTCTCTGAAATCAATAAAAATATATTAAAAAAAATAATAAAGTAAACCAACACCAAAATATGTATGACTACAGTAACAATGTTATTTAAATTATAAATATAATTGCGAATATACCAAAAATTTTAATCATATCTCATGATTTAAAAAAATACAAAAACATTTTAAATTAAAAGTCCTTAAATTCCTTAGGCTTTACAAACAGAAGAAACAAACTGTATTTTCCATTTTTTTAGTTATTTTAACAGAACTACACAATTTTTTTATATTTAGGAAATCTTATTCTTTGATTACTTTTAAATTTAACAATTACTCCTTCGGAACAGAAAGAAAATCAGTGGTTGCCTGGCCTAGGAGTGGGATGGGATTACTGCCTGGAAAGCGGCCAAGGGGATCTTTGGGATGACACAAGAGTTCTATATCCTGATTATGTGGTGACTGTAATGCACAGACATTTGACAAAAATCATTTTACTAGCCAGTCACAAAAAAAAAACATACAGTTGGCCCTCCACATCCAAGGATTTGCATCCATGAATTTAACCAACCACGGATTGAAAGTATTATTTAAAAAAAAAAAAAAAAAAAATCCTAGAAAGTCCCCAAAAGGAAAACTTGAATTTGCCATACTCCAGGCACTATGCTGAATCCACGTGAATAAAATGATGTGTAGGCATGCCCTGCTGTATCCTATATGCGAACACTGAGCCACTTTATATAAGAAACTTAAGCATCCAAGGATTTGGATACCCACAGGGGTCCTGGAACCAATCCTCTAAGGATATGAATACTGTACTATAGGATTTCATTCATACAAAAGGCCAGAACAGGAAAATCTGTAAGAACAGAAAGTAGATTAGTAGTACTTTAGGGCTAGGGCTGGGGCTGAGGTTGGGAGGTGTCAAGTGAGTAAATGAATAGAGGCGTGAGAGCTAAGGGTAAAAAGGGTTTCTTTTTGAGGTGAAGAAAACGTTCTAAAATTAACTGTAGTGCCTTGGTTCCTGTGGCTCAGTTGGTTGGAGCATCATCCCGTACACAGAAAGGGTCATGTTCGGGAGGCAACCAATCGATATTTCTCTCCCACATTGATGTCTGTCTGTCTCTCAAATGAATTTTCAAAAATTTTAAAAACTGACTGTAGTGACAGTTATAGTTTTCTGTGAATATATTATGAACTATTAAAGCAGGGGTCCTCAAACTTCTTAAACAAGGGGCCAGTTCACTGTCCCTCAGACCGTTGGAGGGCCGGACTATAGTTTAAAAAAAAAACACTACGAACAAATTCCTATGCACACTGCACATATCTTATTTTGAAGTAAAAAAACCAAATGTTTTCGGTGGGCCGCATGTGGCCCGCGGGCCGTAGTTTGAGGACCCCTGTTAAAGTATATACTTTAAATGGTTGAACTATATAATATGGGAATTATTAATAAAGCTGTTAAAAAACAGAAATAAAAAATCAGATTGTGGCCGAAACCGGTTTGGCTCAGTGGATAGAGCGTCGGCCTGCGGACTGAAGGGTCCCAGGTTCGATTCCGGTCAGGGGCATGTACCTGGGTTGCGGGCACATCCCCAGTGGGAGATGTGCAGGAGGCAGCTGATCGATGTTTCTCTCTCATCGATGTTTCTAACTCTCTATCTCTCTCCCTTCCTCTCTGTAAAAAAATCAATAAAATATATTTTACAAAAAATATATATATATATATTAGATTGTGAAAAAAAACCTCATTTCATTGTACACCTAAAATGGGTGTATTTTGTTAGATGTGAAATATAACTCAGAGTGTTGTCCTGTACACTGAAAGGTCACAGATTTGATTCCCCATCAGGGAACATACCCAGGTTGCAGGTTCAATCCCTGGTTGGGGTTCATATGGGAGGAAACTGATTCATGTTTCTCTCTCTTTTCTCTTTGTCTCTCCCTTCCTCTCTATAGAAAATCAATAAAAACAACCTCAGGTGAGGATTGAAAAAAAATTGAACAATTCTTAAAAGTATGATTCAGATGAAAGAAATGTAAGTCTGAATTTAATAAGTTTCTAAAATTGATAATGGAAAATGATAAAATTGATGATAACAACAAATGGGAAGAATGTCTTATTAAGCAAATATAAAGAAAAAGTAGCAGTATAGACATTATTTGAAACTGAAAAATACATTATTCCTATTGCTATATTTTCAAGACAATTACAAAACAAAAACACTTACACCTTCTTCAAATGTCCACCTTTTACTAACTTCATGCTCATTATAATTAAACATTTCTTGATGAATTTCAATGATTCTGTGCCTCATGTTTTCTATTTCAGTAATTAGCTTGGGAAGAAAAAGAAAAAAATTTAAAATTACACAAGTTACATAATGAAATTTTAAAATATCACTACTTACATTTAGTATTATCCACACATACTTTAGTCTTAGAATACTGTTGGGTTTTAAACTGTTACTCAATTTTGTGCAAGTACAATGAACACTACTAAAATTTGTAACAGAATTTCCTAACAAACCACCTTCCTATTATGTTTTTTAAATAGACTAGAGGCCCAGTGCACGAAAGGGGGTCACTCAGCCCGGCCTGCAGCCTGTGGGATGGGGCTTAAATCGGCAGTTGGACATCCCTCTCTCAATCCAGGACCGCTGGCTCCTAACCACTCTACCTGCCTGCCTGATCACCCCTAACTGCCTCTGCTTGCCAGTCTGGTCGCCCCCCAACTACCCCCCTGCCGGCCTGGTCGCCCCCTAACTCTCTGAAAGAAAGTCGGATATCCGGAAGATGTCCAGTCGACCCGGTCTAATTAGCATATTACCCTTTTATTAGTATAGATGGCTAGTACATCACAATGTAGGCAAGATATTCCTTCTAAGCTATTTCCAGATGTCTCATAGTAAACCATACCAGCTAAAGAATTCCAGCTGTCTTAATCAGAAATTAACTTCATATGAGCTACAAGTCATACAACACACACAGTTAAGGGATATTAAAGTTTACTTTCTCATGCTTGAAGGATTTTTAAGTCTAATTACCTTTGCTGGATCAGTTATGTCTTCAATTCCTGACGGCAGATCATCACCAGGAGGACCATCATCACCACTGTGTCCATTTACAGAAGCTAATTCCCTTCGCAGCTGAATGAACTGTTCACCAGTTAGAAGATCTCTAGGCAAGTTATTCTGTACGTGCTCTTTAAATCTAAAGACAAACAATAAAAATATATGCTGTTAATTCCTATCACACATTACTCTTTCAAAGGACCTCTGACTTAAAGAAACCAAAACACAAAACCCTTTCTTCTTCCTATAGTAAAAACCTACAATTTGATAAAACAGTCTATAAACATCTTCATTTTCTCCCTTCCTTTGCAATGGAACAGAGAAGGCATGGAGAGGCATAAATTCAAATCCAATCTTGGTTTTCTCATTTGTAAAATGGCACAATACCTATCTTGCAAAGTTACTGTAAAATTATAGTTATGCATATTTACATTATAAATGATCATTAATAACTGACCAGCAAATGTTTGTCTTTCCTTTCCCACCTGCCAATTATTCCTGAATCCAGATGTTTGTATCAAACACTCCAATAAAACTGCTCTAAAGTCATGAAGAATTTCTTACATGCAAAATTAAATGGATACCTGTTTCATACCTCGAACCTGGATGTGAGGGCAATCTAGCTGCGACATCTGTCACCCCACTGATCGCCAGGGTTGATTCGGCTGATCTGGCTGGCTAGGCGGGTGTCCCCCTCCTCCCTCACCGATCCATGTGCGTCCCTCCCGAAGCTGCGCCTTCGGTCGAAGAGGACGACCTTCCCCGCCCCCCAAGGAGAGGACAGGTCTTCGGTCAAGGGTATACGCGTAGCTGCGCTCCCCTGCTAGAACCTCCAAACAAGCTCTCAAGGTCCATACCTCGAACCTAATGATGTCTTCAGTATTTAAGGTTGATAACCACACCTCCCTTTTAGAACCTTCTTCACCTTGACTCTTTGGCTTTCCTCCAAGTCTCTGACTGCCCTTTGAGGGTTCCCCCTTACTATCTGCCCCTACGTATTCCCAAGGATTCCACTCTGCATTTTCTTCTATTTTTATGTACTTCTCTGGCTGATCTTAGGAATAGTTTAAACATATTTCTCTGGCCAATACTGTTTGAAATGATAAGCATACTATGACTCAAAACTGTAACTCAACACCAAACCTTTCTTCTAAATTCCACATTACTATATCCAATTGCCAACACTCTACACATAGAAATATAGATTAATTATAAGCAGAGTGTTTTGAAAAAAGCTTTATTTCATTTTATTCCCTTAAACACATACAAATTTTAATAAAAAACATCCATTTGAGGAGCTAAATATCTACACTATCTCATTTTGGAAACTTATATACAAAAAATGTCTTAAACTAAGTATGTCATCTTCATCCAAAAATCAACATCCTTCGGATTTCTAATCTTGATTAAAGGTAATGCCAACAAATCAGTTCCCCATTTGGAATTTCCCACCTAACTTAATAATTAGATTCCACTGAATATCAGGTCTTAATGATTCTACCTTCTAAATACATCTTCATACCTTGCTCACTTTTCATCTAGATCAGCAGTTCTCAACCTGTGGGTCAAGACTCCTTTGGAGGTCAAATGACCCTTTCACAGGGGTCGCCTAGACCATTGGAAAACACATATATAATTACATATTGTTTTTGTGATTAATCACTATGCTTTAATTATGTTCAATTTGTAACAATGAAATTGGGGGGTCACCACAACATGAGGAACTGTATTAAAGGGTGGCGGCATTAGGAAGGTTGAGAACCACTGATCTAGATAAACATAAACTGGTCTTCTAGCCCCTAGTCTCACAATTCTCATACCCAAACCAATACTACTATCAAAATCCTTATCAAAAAGTAAAAATGAATTCTGGCTAGACAGTTCAGCTGGTTAGAGCACTGTCCCCATATGCCAAGTTTCGGGTTCGATTCCCAGTCAAGTCACATAAAAAAAACTACCAATGAATGTATAAGTGCAACAGCGAATTGGTATTTCTCTCTCCCTTCTCTTTCTCTCACCAATAAATAAATTTTTTCAAACACAACAGTAAACATGATCATAAGCACCTCCTGCCAAAATCATTTCAGTAGGTTTATCCTGTTGTCAAGCTAAAAATCTAACCCCTTAGATAAAGTCTTTCAGATTCTTATCTAGCCTTTGACCCAAGCCCACCTCTTCAATGTTATTATTAGACATGGTTTTCCATGTGGTTGTACATCATGTATCACATATTCCAACATTATTCCCCAAGTTTCTAAAAATTGATTTAGGCTATTGGCACCTGGATTTTTAAACTTTCACAAATGTATGTAAATGACACTGAAACTAATTTACATTATGCAAAGTAATAGATACAAAGCTCAATTTGACCCCATTCAACAATGGAAGGAAAAAATGTAGACTGTCTTATTTTTATTATATATTTACCTTTTAATTGATTTTAGAGAGGAAGGGAGAGAGACATGGATGTGAGAGAGAAACATTGACCAGCTGGCTGCTTCCTGTACGAACCCCATCAAACCTGCAACCAGGGAATTTGCCCTGACCTCCTCACATCAATGTTTCTCTTTCTCACTCCTCTCCCTCTAAAATCAATAAAAACATATCCTCAGGTCAGGATTAAAGAAAAAGAGAAGAATGGCTGAGTGTTTAATATATAGTGAGCCCTATGCCTGGGTTGCTGGCTCAATCCTCAGTAGCGGGTGTACAGGTGGCAGCTGATCGCTAATTCTCTCTCATCATTGATGTTTCTACCTATCTCTCCCTCTCCCTCTCTGAAATCAATAAAAATATATTTTTTAAAAACCATTAGAAAAAAAATATCCTCGGGTGAGGATTAACAATCTATACTAATAATAGAGGAGTATGCAAGTTGTCCGGGATGCCATCACAGTAACAGTAACAACCAGCAGGCTGCATGGGGCGACCAGGTCAGCGGGGGTGTGTGGGGAGAGGCAGTAAGGAGTGACCAGGCTGGCGGGCGGGGGGCGGGCAGTTAGGGGTGATCAGACCGGCAGGCAGAGGTGGTTAGGGGTGATCAGGCTGGCCGGGGGGGGGGGGGGGGGGGTGAGGCAGGTAGAGGCGATCAGGCAAGCAGACAGGTGAGCAGTTAGGAGCCAGCGGTCCCAGATTGTGAGGATGTCTGACTGCCGGTTTAGGCCTGATCCCAGCAGGGGTGCTTGGGCTAGACCAGCCGTGGGCAAACTACGGCCCGCGGGCCAGATCCAGCCCATTTGAAATGAATAAAACTAAAAAAAAAAAAAAAAAAAAAAAAAGCCCGTACCCTTTTATGTAATGATGTTTACTTTGAGTTTATATTAGTTCACACAAACACTCCATCCATGCTTTTGTTCCGGCCCTCCGGTCCAGTTTAAGAACCCATTGTGGCCCTCAAGTCAAAAAGTTTGCCCACCCCTGGGCTAGACCCTTGGAGGTCAGGGACTGCCATTACTGTGAGGGAAAAACAGATCTCACCCCCAAGCAGCAGAGGCAGTACAGCCCTACTGCCTACTGAAGCCGCAGAGGCTCAAAACTGTGAGGCCACAGAGGAAAAGAAAAATCTTGCAATTCAGCACCATCTACTGGAGCAGAGTAGAAAGGCCTCCTCAGAGATAAATGGGAAAACAAAGGAGAACAACGAACACCATGGACAGCAACGACGACGACGACCAGAAAGAAAATGAAAAATCCCCAGAAAACAGGCTGGAACACACGGAATTATGCGAATTAAATGACAGAGATTTCAAGATTGCAGTTCTGAAAATGCTCAATGAGATGCGAGAAAATAAAAAAGCCAACATAGTCATCATACTTTCTTGTCCAGAAAGACTTTCTGAGTCCATGTCAGTGGGATATTCTAAGTACACAGGAACATGGAATTAGTGGTTTTAACAGCTCTAATTAAAATGAAATGTTATCAATCATAATGGAAAATCACAATAGAAAACAGAAATGAAATCATTGTTTTTTGAATATATGCAGGGCTTACTACATAAAATACATACATTGCTATTTTGGATCTAAGTTTTTACATGAATCACAAGGATATACTTTTAGTAAGTCATTAAGTTTTAAATAAGCATCTATTATGTGCCATGTACAGTGCTAGTTAGTACTGCAGTGAATAATTACACTTAGATTCTATTTTCTCATTCTTTCATTAATCTGAAATACCTCAGACAAAAGATAGGAATCCTCTTGTTTCTTCATCTATAAAATGGATAAGGAGAACCTAAAGTCTAAAAACAGTAACATTCCTAAACATTTCATAAGTTATATGGGAAAATATCTACATTTAAAAGTGCATAAAATATGATTATTGTGAAAGAAAATATATTCCTAAATATTAGGAATTAATTACCTGAGTAATCAAAGATATTTTAACAATTTTTCCACCTACCTCTGAAAATGATGACTATACAGCTGTGTTGGAATACCAAGAATACGATCATATATAGCTGTAACTTCTCTCAGGTTTCCCTGTTCATTCTCCCAGTTTATATACATTTCCCATAGTCTGTCAGAACGGAAATCTGTTCCTGCAGCTAGAACAGCGTGCTCAAAAGTTCTGAAAAATTAAATTACCTTTAAATTATCTTTCTAAGATAAATGCACTTTCAAAATATTATGTCTATACTTTGCAGCTCTGCAATATATACAAATATCAAATCATTATGTTGTACACCTCAAACTGACATACAGTAGTTACCCCTTATCCACAGGGAATTAGATCCAAGACCCCCATTAAAACCACAAAGTACTAATCCCTAACTACATTTTTTTTTCTACACATACATACCTCTGATAAAAGTTTAATTCATACATTAGGCACAAAAGTTAACGAATAAAAAATAGAACAATTATAATACAGTGGGGCCTTGACTTACGAGTGTCCCGACTAACGACTTTTTTCGAGATACTAGCCGTCTCTCGGCTGATTTTTTGCTTTGAGTTGCGAACTAAAATTCGGGTTACGAGCCAGCTTCAGATACCCCACTGCTAGTTGGCGCAGCGAACGTCACAGTGAACGCCACAACATCAGCCCAGCATCACGTGTCTCACTCGTTCACTTTTTGATTTGACATACGAGTAATTTGAGTTACGAGCTCCGTCACAGAATGAATTAAACTCGTAAGTCAAGGCCCCACTGTATATTGTAATAAAGTTATGTCAATGTGTTCTCTCAGCAAATTAGCACATATTTCTTTTTCCTTTTTCATAATTTCATGGATAGAAAATTTGCTCTTACCGTAGATTTTAGTGACCTCAGCATACGACATTGTTTTCTTTCCTTATTAAGTCGACAACTTTCACCTTTTCACTTAAAGGAAGCACTTTACAGCTTTTCCTTGGCATACCTGAATCACCAGAATCACTACTCTTGTGCTTTGGGGCCAATATTTGGTAAAATAAGGATTACTTGAACACAAGCACTGAATACTGTGACAGCAATCTGATAACCTAGACAGCTACTAAAGTACAGTGTGGATACGATGGACAAAGGAATGATTCCCATCCTGGGCACACAAGAGCAGGAAGACACAAGATTTCTTCGCACTACTCAGAACGGCACACAATTTAAAACTTATTGTTTACTTCTGGAAATTTCCAATTAATATATTCAGACTGTAGTTGACTGCAGGAAACTGTGACAGTTCAAATCATGAATAAAAGGGCTACTACTGCAACATATGTCAATAAAACTTCAATTTTAAAAAAGTTTAAAAATCAAATAGATAATGCTAAATTCAAAATAATATTCCATTGCTTCCCATACAAATAGAGATTAAAAGATAGAAGGAATTGCCCGGCCAGTGTGGAGTTCAGTGGTTGAGCGTCAATCTATGAACCAAGAAGTCAGGCTTTGATTCCCAGTCAGAGCACAAGCCAAGGTTGCAGGCTCATCCTCAGTAGGGGGCATGCAGGAGGCAGCCAATAGATGATTCTCATCATTGATGTTTCTATCACTCTTTCCCTTCCTCTGAAATCAATAAAAACTTATTTGAAAAGAAAAAAAAGATAAAAGTAATAATAAGGAAGTGTATGACAGCAGTTTTAAAAAAGTGAGAAAAGCTCAGCCAGTGTGGTTCAGTGGTTCAGCACTGACCTATGAACTGGGAGGTCAGTTTGATTCCCAGTCAGGCACGTGCCCGGGTTGGATTCCCAGTGAGGGGCATGTAGGAGGCAGCCAATTGATGATTCTTTCTCATCATTAATGTTCCTATCTCTTTCTCCCTCTCCCTTCCTTTCTGAAATCAATAAAACAAAGTGAGAAACATAAAGGAAATAGATAAATGTACTGTTACGTAATTTTACCTTATATAAAATTACAATGCAAAACATACACACTGCAAACATATTTATTTGTTAAACTTGAAATGCTTGTTGAATGGATTCATTTAGGGTAGAAGATAGGCACAATTATTATTATTAATTTAAATAATAATTTTCTGGGAAAATAACTCCAACAAGGGATCCAGCTGCCTTATAAGGTATGAGAAGTATACATATATTTTAAAACTCTCAAAAATCTCTCCTGATTCTAAAATCCCACAATTATAGTTTATTACAAAAACATATATTTTAAGTACCTAATTCCTGTCAAAAGATTTCTGCAAGCAATGTTAAATCATTAGATTTGAAATTCAAATGAGATAAAACCATTAGATACATATTTTCAATGTAAATATTTTAGAATCAAGAGGGATTTTTAACAGTATAAAACTATACTACCTAAATTAATCTATAACTTTAACAGAATCCCAATCAAAGCTCTAACAAATTTTGGGTGAAAAGGAAAAACAAATTCTAGCATTCATCTGGAATACAAAAATGTAAAGTATTTTGTGTAAGGACAATGCAGCAGTTTTCCTGAAATATATCAAAAGAAACTAGGAAGCCTAACTGGTTTGGCTCAGTGGATAGAGCGTCAGCCAGCAGAATGAAGGGTCCCAGGTTCGATTCCAGTCGGGGGCATGTGCCTTGGTTGCGGGCACATCCCCGGTGGGGGTTATGCAGAAGGCAGCTGATTGATGTTTCCCTCTCATGATGTTTCTAACTCTCTATTCCTCTCCCTTCCTCTCTGTAAAACAAAATCAATAAAATATATTTAAAGAAAAAAAAGAAACTAGGAAGCTATAGTAATTAAAAGTATGGCACTAGCTAGGAACAGAAAAATGGATCAACAGAACATATCAAAGTATATTTGAGAATTTAGTCTATGGTAAAGGAGTATTTTTAGAATTAATGCAGAAAAGTTGGACTATTCAATATAATTGAAAAAAATAAAGGGTTAATCTCTACTTCACAAAGGACACAAACTAAATGCCAGATGAATGATTTTTAAAAAACTATTTTACAAATTAGAAGAAAATACAAATTTATATATTCTTGGCAAGATAGGCACAAAAGTAAGAAACTAATAAAAGATTGAATACTGCCGAAACCGGTTTGGCTCAGTGGATAGAGCGTCGGGCCTGCGGTTCGATTCCGGTCAAGGGCATGTACCTGGGTTGCGGGCATATCCCCAGTAGGAGATGTGCAGGAGGCAGCTGATCGATGTTTCTCTCTCATCGATGTTTCTAACTCTCTATCTCTCTCCCTTCCTCTCTGTAAAAAATCAATAAAATATATTAAAAAAAAAAAAAGATTGAATACTGAACATTAAGAAAAAAAAGCCTCTATCTGATAAAGATACCCTAAACAAATTAAAAGCTGTACCAAAACTGCAGGAAATGTTTAATATATATATATATATATATATACACACACACACACACACAGATAAAGGATTAAAAGATAAAGGATACATGCATACATGTATATATATATATTTGTGTATGAAGTTTCTGAGACAGTGAAATACATGCTATTGCTCCTGCCAAAACCCAAAATGATCCAGTAAATCAGCGCTTTTCAACCTGTGGGTCGTGACCCCTTTGGGGGTCGAACGACCCTTTCACAGGGGTCGCCTAAGACCATCAGAAAACACATATATAATTACATATTGTTTTTGTGATTAATCACTATGCTTTAATTATGTTCAATTTGTAACAATGAAATTGGGGGCCACCACAACATGAGGAACTGTATTAAAGGGTGGCGGCATTAGGAAGGTTGAGAACCACTGCAGTAAATCAATGCATCAGACACTAAGAAAGTGGAGGGAGTTGGGAGAGGAAAATGATAAAAAGGTAACAAAATAAAGACAGAATGTTTAGGTCCGATTGATAAATGGTAAGAGACCTTAAATCTCGTTTCCTGCCCAGCTATGGGAATTCAGAAACTAGGTATATTTTCCCTGGAAGTTCAGGTTATCCTTTAATGAGAAAGAACTGCTTGACATAGGAACGATATAAAGATACTGCCCTGGCCAGTGTGTCCAGTGGTAAGAGCATCAGCTCTGCCTGCACCAAAGGGTCACAGGTTTGATTCCCATCAAGGTCACATACCTGGGATGAAGGTTCAATCCCCAACCCAGGTCAGGTCAGGTGCGGGAAGCAACCAATTGATGTGTCTCTCACACTGATGTTTTTTTTTTCTTTTCTTCTTTATCTCCCCCTCCCTCCATTCCTCCCACTCTCTGTAAAAGTCAATGGAAAAAATATGCTCAAGTGAAGATTAACCACAACAAGGTATAAAGATACTAACACTAGGAGTCCAACAAAAACTGGGTGGCCATTTGATCATTTTACTGTGAAGCCCTCCAGGCCAGCTAAAATTGGACCCCCAATACAAAATACACAGAGCTTCTATTCAATTTATTAAAATCTAATCTTTAACATAAGCAGAAATCCAGAAATCAGACATGACAGAGATTAAAAAACAAAAAAACTTCAGAGGAAACAGTGCTAGGAGCAGACTTCAACTATCCTTAATACCCTCAAAGAAATGATAAAAAAAAATATGCAGAGCCAGAACCAGTTTGGCTCAGTGGATGGAGCGTCAGCCTGCGGACTCAAGGGTCCCGAGTTTGATTCCGGTCAGGGGCATGTGCCTTCGTTGCGGGCACATCCCCAGTGGGGGGCGTGCAGGAGGCGGCTGATCAATGTTTCTCTCTCATTGATGTTTCTGGCTCTCTATCCCTCTCCCTTCCTCTCTGTAAAAAATCAATAAAATATATTTTAAAGAAAAAAAAATGCAGAAATATAACAATAGGAAGAAATGAGAAAAGGAACAAAGAGGGTGTTGAAGTGGCTGATCAATGTTTCTTTCTCATGGATGTTTCCATATCTCTATCCCTCTCCCTTCTCTCTCTCAAATAAAAAAAAAAAAATCCCACATGTTTTTTAAATAAATAAAAGCTTCCATGAGGCCCAGCCGGTATCGCTCAGCGGTGGAGCACTGACCCATGAACCAGAAGGTCACAGTTTGATTCACTGTCAGGGTATATGCCCGGTTTGTGGGCTCAATCCCCAGTAGGGGGCATGCAGGAGGCAGTTAACCAATGTTCTCTTATTGGTGTTTCTATCTCTATCCCTCTCCCTTCCTGTCTCTCTAAAAAGTCAACAAAAACATATTTAAAAAAAAAAAAAAAAAGCTTCTTTGAGGAAAAACATGTCATATAAATATCAGAAGAATGGTATCATACTTATCAATACCAACATCAGAAGCTATAAATGAACTCAAGAGATGCCTTCAAAGCCCTAAGGAAAAATTACTTTCAACTCTATACCCGACTGGACCATTAATTTGGGTGTTTCAGATATAAAAGTCTTAATTTCTTTTCTTTAAATCCCAAGCATCCTTCAGCAAGTAATAGGATGCTTTTCTATAAAACGTGGGCACATGGAAACCAAGAAAGAGTAGGATCTAATAAACTTTTTTTAAAATATATTTTTACTAGAGGCCCAGTGCACAGATTTGTGCACCAGTGGGGTCCCTCAGCCTGGCCTGTCCCCTCTCGCAATCTGGGACCCCTTGGAGAATGTCGGATAGCCAGGCAGGAGGGAGCCGATGCCCGCAGGCCTAATCCAGACAGGAGGGAGCTCGATCCTGTGCATTGTCTGTAACCTGCTGGTCAGTGCGCGTCATAGCGACCAATCATTCAGTTGCTTAGGCTTATATATAGAGAGATTGATTTCAGAGAGCAACGGAGAGGGGGAGAGATATAGAAACATCAATGATGAGAGAGAATCAGTGATCGGCTGCTTCCTGCATGCCCCCCACTGGGGATTGAGCCCACAACCCAGGCATGTGCCCTTGACCAGAATCTAACCCAGAACCCTTCAGTCCCCAGGCTTACACTCTATCCACTAAGCAAAACCAGTTAAGGTTCTAATAAACTCTTAATAGAGCCAGAAACCCAGGAATGAGGTAAAGACATATTCTAGAATCAGGATGATAAAGAAATCCCAAAATAATATCTGTATAACAGAAACAGAATAGAACAAGCAGTCCAGATTACAGAAGAGAAGGTCCCAGGAGGGATAGCTCCAAGAGGGAAGGGGAAAAAAATGGAATTTACAGACTTCAGAGTATAGTTCTCTTTTACAATTTTTATACTAAGTAGACTATTTTTAACTCCCAAAAATACTTACAAAGCATTTGTACATTATGTAAAGTAGTATTTAGTACTGACTACTGAAAGTAGCTGTTGGAAGGGGTGAAAGTTTTTAAATGTGCAAAGAAAACCAGGCAAGTTGAATAATGGGGAGGAAGCAGTAATTAAATCCAGGAAAAACAAAAGGCTATGAAATCTATCCATTTGGAAAGATGAAGAATGAAAAAATATAAAAGTGAACTAAAATTTTTAGTTACCATTACAAAATTATGTCCTCAGCAAATGAAGAAAGCACTACTATATCACACATGTTAAAAAATACCAGAAGAAACAGCTAAAATATCTGAAGAGGGGTGGAAAGCCTACTTTTTGTTACAAGCAGTTTAATACTGATTTTTTAAACATTTATAAGTTCCTATAATTAATAAGAAAAACATAATCCAAAAGTAAAAGGAGTAAATGGTATGAGGAGGCAATGTGAAAATGGCTTATCTATAATAATAAAAGTGTAATATGCAAATCGACCAAACGACCGAACAGCAGAATGATCATCCAGACAACCTTCCGGATGACCATGCTGACACCCAGTGGCGCCAGGCCAGCCAAGGTGGGTGCGATGCAATTGGTCGGGGGCCCGGCCATCGCCCCATGATCGCCCTGCAGAGGGAGGCCCAGGCCACCAGCTGGCAAGGCGATCGATCAATCAGGGGACTCCACAATCACCCCAAAGAGGGAGGCCCAGGCCACCGACTGGAGGTCTGGTGGGCAGGGCCTCCCTCTGTGGGGTGCGACCGATCGCCCCAAGAGGGAGGCCCAGGCTACCCCACGGTGGTGCTGCAGCAGGTGGGCCGGGCCTCCCTCTTTGGGATGATCCATCGAGGAACTCAGGCTGGGTGGGCGAGGCCTACCTCTTTGGAGCGACTGATTGCAGGGCTTCCAGAATGAGAGGGCACAGGCCGGGCTGAGGGGACAGACAGACACAGAGACACAGACACAGACACACAGACACAGACACACACACACACACTGCACAAATTTCGTGCACCAGGCCTCTAGTATAAGGATACGAAAGATGGCAAACCAGGATAAACACTCTGGAGATATGTAAACTAAAATAATGTGATACCACCTAAGAATAAAGAAAAATGTGGTCTGCTATGGGAAAATGACTACTCTCATACACTGTGGGAGTTTAAAATATCACTTCTAAAGAAACATTTGATAGAATTTAGCTGTGTGTTCCCTTTGACAGCATTCCAATTCTAGCATGCTCTACATAAATACTGACTTGTAGAGACATTCACTGAAGCACTGGTTATTTCCTATGCATAAGAATTTGGTCAAATAAAATATAACACCTAGATACTGTAAAATACTTTGCAGTGGTTAAAAAAGTATGGTAGAGATTCCAAAATATTCTGTTAAAAAAAAAAAATCAAAGGATAATATGAGCAAACATGTATAGCTGTGTGTATCTGAAAGAACACACACCAAGCCATTAACCACAAGGGGAGTGGAATTGGGAACATAAGAAAAGGGAGGTATAAAACGGAGGGGGAGCCCAGCTGGCATGGCCATGGTTGAGCATCTATGAACCAGAAGGTCACGGTTCAATTCCCAGTAGGAACACATTTCCAGGCTGTGAGCTCAATCCCCATTAGGTGATGTACAGGAGGCAGCTGATCAGTGGTGCTCTCTCATCATTGATGTTTCTGTTTCTCTCTCCCTCCCTCTCCCTTCCTCTCTGAAATCAATAAAAATATACTATAAATAAATAAGTAAATGAAAGGGGAATTTATTATCTTTTTTTTATATAATCATACATACATTTATTACCTGTATTCTTTTTAAGTAGAGAAATTATATGGAACTTAAACTTTCGGTTTAGCATTCACAAATAGTTCTATTATCAATATAAGAATAACTGATTTCTAATTTATATCTTTGAACACACGTGATTAACAGAGTTTCACATACCCTCTTATTGTACTGTTTGTCTCAGAATCCCCAGGATCCAATGTTTCTTTTAAGAAGTTTATATAATGTATCCAAAGGTCAACACTAAGAGGTATTGCCTGAAGCCCCCGTCGATACACCTAAGAAAAAAACAACAAAACTGTACTTCAAATATTTAATTATTTCTTAACAGAGAGGTAACACTGTGTTATCCGGTGAACCTTAGAAATACTAATTACTGGAATTTTGTTTAAATAATCTACCATTACCATTTGGGTGGAGGTTGGATAGAACATGGCAATGTTCTGATCCCCACGTGCAGAGTCTTGATCTTCAAAGCGCAGCAGTCCCTGCATTCTGACCGGGTTGTGTGGGCAGGCTTTGGGTTACAGACCATAGGGCACAGACCCATTAGAGCACCAATGACAGCGTCTGACCAAAAATGCAATAAGACGTAGCAAATGTGACTAGCAAACCAACTATATTGTTTGGAAAATGAGAAATAAATGTAAGTGAGAGAAAAGCCCTGCCCTACTTGTTAAGCTGCAGTGTAATACAGAGGCTTGCACTGCAAAGCTTGACAAACTGTAGAGGTTTAACGCACCTGCCAACAAAGAGAGAAAATATTAGCTACAAATGCCACAAGAGTGACAAATGCAAATAAAATACCCTATAAAATTGTTTGACCACAAATCGTAGGTACTGCCAGCCAAAGAAAAAAAAAGTCTTTGTTTTGTTATTTGGCTTACAGTACCTAGTGGAAATTATTTTATTCAGTGATGTACGCACCTCGTCTGACTGTTTAATGTTGTCATGCCGCTTTTCAAGGTCTGCATACTTTTTCCAGTAACCATAGCAATACGGATAGTGTATGAAAAATTTGTCAAATGCTTTCCTGGCAGCCATCAAGTGATTCTGATGAAAATAAAATGAGGTGTTTAAATATCTTGGAAGTTTCTGTCACAAAAATATTTATTATTCCTTTCAAATGTATTATCTCAAATAAAAGAAATGGTAAGTTTAAAGACCACACACACACCCCGCAGTCCTTTCCCCTATGAATGCAACCTTATCCTTTGAAACAGAGGAACTAATTCTGCTAAACTACAAGGCAGCCATTTATTCACAGATTTTATACAGATACACACATGCACAGCACTTACTACAAACATTAGACTTTGACTCTACTAAAACTAACTTTTCACTACACACCAATGCAATTTTTTTGAAGTTAAATAAGTGTAAATATCCAATGTGATGCAACTTAATCTGAAAAGTATAAAAAAGCAACTTTAATTACAAAACAATAAGTCCCAGTCTAATAATGACTTGATTAATCTGTTCCTTTAGTCCCATTTAAAAGTTACTAACCTCCTGTTCTACATACTGAAGCAAATATACCCAGCCTGTAAAATCCTGAGGATTATTTTCTACAGTTTTCCAAAACTTTTCATATTCTGGAGGGAAATTTGCTTCTGTTTCTGCCACTGGAAGGTCCACAGCATTTGCTATTTCATTTTCATCTGTAGTTGCATTCACATTAGGAGATCCATCAGGTGACTGTTCCATTTCCGTGACATTCATAATTTCAGTACTGAAATCAGCAGACTGTTCTACCACTACCTCAGAACTGTTGCCTGTGCTGCCATTACTAGAATTTCTGTACTCATCCATGTGAGAATTTTGCATAGCTGTTTGTCTTCAGTTAATGACCTGTAGAAAGAAAAATAAAGAAAAACATCTTCCAAATGTTTGTTTAGCATCATCAAAACCACGCTTTTTAAAAAATGTTTAGAGAGGAAGAAAGAGAGAGAAACATCAATGTGAGAGCAAAACATCAATCAGCAGCCTCCTGCATGCCCTTACGGGGATCAAACCTGCAACAGAGCATTTGCCCTGACCAGGAATTGAACCAGCAACCTTTCAGTGCATGGGATGACACCCAACCAGCTGAGAAGCACCAGTAAGGGCAAAACCACCTTTTTATAAAACACAAGTTCTCATTAGCTATTAAAGAAATGTAATAATTTGATTCTTGATATCTCTTATAACTCTTAATTAGGTTTATTAGTTTCTATATTATAAATGAAATTCTGTAACATAAATTTTCCAAAAATCTATTTTATTGTTGGGTGTTTAAATAAACACTAAATAACTAAGGACTTAGTTCCTTCATCCATAAAGCAAGTGAGGTTTGTGCCTGCTCCCTAAAGAAGCAATCATATCTGAATTCAATGTTTCTTAGCTAGCTAAAATTATAAAATTCAATGTCTGAATACCATCTTGCTATTAACCCTGGAAAACAGCAAGGTCTTTAATATCTGTTCTGAAGGCTAAAGGGAAAATAACAAAAATTCTGATCATGGCCCTAGCCAGTTTGGCTCACTGGATAGAACGTCGGGCTGGGGACTGAAGAGTCCTGGGTTCGATTCCGGTCAAGGGCATGTACCTTGGCTGCAGCCACATCCCCAGTAGGGGGTGTGCAGAGGCAGCTGATCGATGCTTCTCTCTCATCGATGTTTCTAACTCTCTATCTCTCTCCCTTCCTCTCTGTAAAAAATCAATAAAATATATTTTAAAAAAATTCTGATCATGGATATAAACGTTTTAGAGGGAAATTAATCACTTAGCTCAGGATAAAGTTTTAAAAAAGAAAAGGTTACATTGTTGAAATATATTAATACATTTACAATAAAATTTAAATCCTAGCACCTACATTTGATTTTATTTTAGAAAATATAAATGAAGGTATTAAAAAATTATAAGAGCCCTGGCCGGAGTAGCTAAGTTGGTTTGACATCGTTTGTGCACCAAAAGGTTACTGATTCGATGAGGCAGCAGATTGATGTTCCACTCTCAAATAGATGTTTCTCTCTCCCTCTTCCTTCTTCTCTCTCTAAACATCAATAAAATATATATATATATATTTTTTTAATTACAAGAGTGACTTCTAAAGTGAATGTTATTAACAACATATTTGTGCAAGTTCTATCATCTGGATAGTAATTATATAAAACTGTTCAAATTAAGTCAACTCATTGTTAAGGCCACCCTGTATAATGGGTTGCAGTCAAAATATTTGAAAAACATTGCTAAACTATTACTATGATAAATTAATAATACTAGAATATTAAATTCAGTGAGAACAGAGACCTTGGTTTTGTTTATACCTTTAACTTTTCATTTAGTTATGACATATGCTTTTGACTAACATTATACTTTATACATTATACTTTTAACTAACAATTCTACCTATCAACGTAAAATTTGGAGGATGACTTAAATAATGCACACATAATTAAAGATGGGAAGTTTGCCCTGACTGTGTGGCTTGGAGTGTAGTACATACACCAAAAAGATTGCAGGTTTGATCCCCAGTCGGGGCACATATGAGAGGAAACTGACTGATATTTCTTTACTTCTCTCTCCCTTAAAAAAAAAAAAAAAAAAAAAAAATCAATAAATGATGTATCCTCAGGTGAGGGGGAAAAAAAGGCAATTGTTAATTTTAAAAATACAGTAAGTTTGATCGAACACCTTTTTTTAAACTCTCTATATTTATGCCTATAGAGGTTAAGTGATTATTCTTTTCATAAACAGAGCAACACATAAAAATCTGAAGATGTTACTAAGGACTGAAAGTCAGGAGTTTGAGCAAAACAAATTAACTTTGCAATCTACAAGTTACTCTGTGCTTCATCTGCAGATAAGCTAATTTTAAGGCTCAGGATGTTAGGAAAAGATACTATCATAGAAACTTGTTTTTTAGCAACTGTTTTCAGAGACTAAGTAGAATGGTCACAGATTAGGTTCCAGAAATTGGAATGAACACACACACACACACACACACATCTGTATCTCTCAGGTGTTGTTTTTTAATCCTCATCTGAGGATATGTTTTTTTCTTTGATTTTAGAGAGAGGAAGGAAGAGGGGGAGAGAGAGAAACATTGATATCTCCCTAATGCACCCTGATCAGGAGTCAGATCCAAAACCCAGGTATGTGCCCTAACTGGGAATTGAACCCTTGACCTTTCCGTGTGTACCCATGATGCTCCAACCAACTGAGCCACACTAGCCAGGGCAATCACTCAGGTTTTTTAGGGGAAAACAATCATCATTTGGCTAGAACTACCACTTTCTCCTTTGGCTATTTAAAAAAAAAAAAAAATCCTGTTTAATGCAGAATTGTTAACATACCACAGGAGGTTCTGTTCTTTTGCTTGAAAAACACAAACACAGGTTTTATCATTTGATTTATAAAATCCCTTTTCTTATTCAAATATAAGTAAAAACAGTAGCACACAGTGACACTAAAAAATTTCTGCTTTTCAATTAGCCATCTTTGGTCAACCTCTATTTTAGAGTTCGCAATCTAAGAAACAAGTCTTCATTAGAATTCCTTTTGTTCACCTTTTCCCCACCAAAGACTGTAGAGTGGAAAGTTCCAACTTTTGCAACCCCAGAGTGTAGTTATAAATACGGTGGGGGGGGGGGGGGATACCCAACTGTAGTTGCTTCTTTTTTTTTCAAGCCACTTAAGCTCCTATGGAGCCCAAAACACCCAAGTTCCAAAGTGAGCTCCATATTCATACTTCCATGATAAAACTTGCTTCCTGAAGTTTCAACCTTCCTTGTAGAAAAGTTTAAAGTATTCCTAAACAGACTGGACCAGTTGCCAAATAACTTAAGTCCTCAAAGAGGAGGTACCGTGAATATCAAACTAAAAAGTAACAATCTCATGACATAAAATCATCATCCTCAATCACACGTTAAGAGCAGCACTACTTAAGTTAAGCAAGACATCATTCTTACTAAAGATCCTTAATGTCGCCCTGGCCGGTTCGGCTGGGTGGGTAGAGCCTGGCCTGCGGACTGAAGGGTCCGGTTGGATTCTGGCCAAGGGCACATGCGCGGGTTGCGGGCTCGATCCCCAGTAGGGAGCGTGCAAGAGGCAGCTGATCAATGATTCTCACTCATCATTGATGTTTCTATCTCTCCCTCTCCCTTCCTCTCTAAAATCAAAAATATTTTTTAGAAAAGAACTTTAACGTCTAGTTTTTCTGCTTCTATTCAATCCTGCCAAAAGCTTCCACTTAATTTTGAGGTGCTGTGACTCAGGGCCCCAAAGATTTAGCTTATGCCGTCAGAATACGGAACGCGTCCTACAAGGCGCCTAAATTAAGCCTTATTAACAGAATTTGTATTTTCCCAATGTTCTGGGGTCTGCTATGGAGCCCTTCCAGTTCCAGTCGTCCCAGCCACACGGGTTTCCAGCTCTTGGGGAAGCAAGGGCTCCAGGCTTACCCCCAAACCGCTTCCTCGATCACGTGGAGGCCCACATTTCCAGGCCCGTCTGAGAAACGTTTAGTCTAAGAAAAGAAACCTCGCACTGCTCCACCCAACAGGTGGGGAGGCCAGAGGACTGGACAGCTGGGCGCCCTGGCCGGGCCAGGCCGCAACACGGCGGGAGGGAGGGAGGCCCGGCCCGGCCCGGCCCGGCGCGGCCTGAAAGCAGGCAGGCCCCCGCCAGCCCAGCCTCCCGCCCCCTCCGCCAATTCCCAGGCGCCCACCCCAGCGGACCTGACGGTGGAGGCGGCTCAATGCCATGAGCCGCAGACTGGGCGACGATGGCACTTCCACGGTCTCAGCGCCCACAGCCGCCGCTGCACCGCCACCAGCGCCACAACACCTACCCCGGAGAGAGCGCGCCGCGCATGCGCCGAGTGGTTGGGTCGCGAGGGAGTCACGTGATCGCGCGGCGTGCGTCCCGGCTTCGCTCGGGATCCAAGAGCCCCGCCCCGCCCCGCCCGCCCCGCCCGCCCCGCCCGCCCCGCCCCCAGGCTCCAGAGGCTGACGCAGCTGCTCGTCCAGTTTCGTTAGTGAATTCTTCCCAAAATGTAAGGGTAGTTAGGTGCTTTCACACCCCTGATCTTAAACACAGCCAGCGCTCAGCCCTGCCCTTGCCCCCCAAAGAAAGAAATTGTTTTTCTTTTGGGGCAAACCTAATGTTTCCCAACAATTGTTCAGGTTTTACCCCTCTACCTAAAAATGGACAAAAATTAAGACTTAAAACCCCTGTGGCCCCACCAGTATGACTCAGTGGTTGAGCCTCGACCCATGAACCAAAAGGTCCCCAGTTCAATTCCCAGTAGGGTACATGCCCGGATTCTGGGCTCAATCCCCAGTAGGGGGTGTGCAGGAGGCAGCCCATCAATTCTCTCTCATCATTGATGTTTCTACCTCTACCTCTCCCTTCCTCTCTCTCTCCAAAATCAATTTTTAAGAAAATCCTGTTGGCCCTAGCCGGTTTGGCTTCATGGATAGATAGATCGTTGGCCTGTGGACTGAAGGGTCCCAGGTTCGATTCCCAGTCAGGGCACATGCCCCGGTTTCAGGCTCAATCCCTGTAAGGGGGTGTACCGGAGGCAGCAGATCAATGATTCTCATCATTGATGTTTCTAACTCTCCCTCTCCCTTCCTCTCTGAATTCAATATATATAAATACTCTGGGGGGGGAAAGGGACACACATACTAAATCTGACAAGCTTATAGGAGGCCTGTATGGCAGGCCCTACAAACTCAGAGACCAAAAGTAACCACATAGGATGGTGTGAATATAACATCCCTAATTAAAAGACAGTCATGGTGGTAGTCACGTCCTAGCCTGTAGCTTTATTGACAAAGGTCAGTCTTTACCTGAAGTGAGCCTGTCTATTGTTTTTTTGCATCTAAGATGACATACACTTGGAATGAAAGAGTAATCTCCTTTATCTGGACCTCTCAGGGTGCAACCCACTGGCACCAGAGCACTAGGCCATAGAATCCCTCATTGTTACCTTGTTCCTCAAATACCATCCCCTTGTGCTGTAAATGTTAATTTTTAACCATCCTGTACCCACAAATGTAAAAGATTTAAATGTTTCAGTGGTTGAGCTTTGACCCATGAGATCACTGGTTCCATTCCTGGTCAGGCCACTGAAGTATGATAGCAATCATCTCAGGTAGAAACTGTAGTTTAACTTTAACCCTGCTGTTTGGCTTCTGTACTTATCTGCTTTGTTTAACAATAGAAAAGTTACTTTGATTTTCTGAACTTATGTATGCTGTCCCAATCGATGAATACTCCGTTGTTGGTGGTTTGAATATCCCATTGATTGTGATCTTACTGATTATCGAAGCACATTCTTCTGTACCTGGGAACCAGGACAGCACAATTACCTTAAATTGCCTCAGTGGCCAAAGATAATGCGTTCCGGTTGACTCAGTGGTCCCAAGACCAGGACAGCACAATTACCCTAAATAGCCTCGATGGCTCCAGATAATGTGTTTCCGTTGACTCAGTGGTCCGAAGACCCAAAACTATAATTAATCTTTGTAGATAACTAATCGGCTCAATTTCGCTTCTGTAACTGCTTTTTGCAAACCAGGTTCCTCATTCCAAACCCTGAGATGTAATCAATACCTTTGTGATTTTTGCCTATATAAATCTGGTATTGCGGCCATCTTATCACTGTGAGATTTGGAGAGCAAAATGCCCCCTCATAGTCCCGGATTTGCAATAAATGTGACTCCTTAATTCGACTTCTTGAGGCGTCCTTGTGTGATTTGCGGGGTACGTTACACCACATGCCCGGGTTTCAGGCTTGATCCCCAACAAGGAGCATGCAGGACGCAGCTGATCAACGTTTCTATCTCTTTCTTCCTTTCCCTTCCTCCCTCTTTAAAATCAATAAAAACATATGTTAGAAAAAAGTAAATGTTACTCTGTTTTACTCTGTGGACAAAAGGGGCCACATGCTAACCTGACAAGCTCAGGGAAGCCCTACATGGCAGTCTTGCAAACTCAGAAACCTAAAGTAACCCCAAAGGATAGTCTAAATTAAACTTTAACTAAAAGCAGTTATGGTGGGTAGTCACCTCCTAGGCCAGTATCTTCCCTGTCAAAGGTCAACCTTTACCTTAATTGAACCTATCTGTATTTTTGCATCTATGAAAACGTATCCTTGAAATGTCAGGGTAGCTTGTAACCTCCCTTTTTCCAGATCCCTCAGGGCACAACAAATGGCACCTGGCAGAAAACCACAAATTCTCTCATTGTTATTATTATCGTATTAATTGTCGACTGTTAACTATCCTGTACCCACCTAAGTAACAGAAGTATGTGTCTATCACTTTACTCTTTATCCAGTCCCAGAGGTTCCCCACCACCACCACTTCGCTTTCTCCTGCCTCTCTAATCTATCACCAATGGATTTCATGTAACCTATCTACATCCATTCCTTTGATTGCAATGCATAAAAATAGATGAGAAACTGCCATTCTCTGGTCTAGAGCATTATCCCAATCTGTTGAGATTCTGCTTCCCGGCAATTGTCGACAGTTTGGCTCAAATAAACTCACAAAAATTCTTCACAGGTTCGAATGTTTTTACCTTACCAATTCGTTATCCAATCTCAGAGATTTCCCCACTTCGCTTTCTCCTGCCTCCCTAGGATCTACCAGCAATGAATTTCATGTAACCCCCTTTATGTCTCTTCCTTTAATTCTAATGTATATAATAAACTGTAAAACTGCCCATCTCCAGAGCATTTTCTCAACTCATTGAGATTTTGCTTCCTGGCAATTGTCATCTGTTTGACTCAAATAAATTCATAAAAATTATCTACAGGTTTCAACATTTCTTATGTTGACACTCTCAGATCTATGTAGTGTGAGTCCTAGTTACCTGAAGAGGAAACAATAAGATATATAACATTTCCTCTGGAAAAATGGAGATTAAAAGTTGTGTTGACAATCTTAGCAGTCCTCTTCAGTTCTACTCTTTTTTGTTGTTGTTGTTAATCCTCACCAGAGGATATTTTTTTCCATTGATTTTTAGACAGAGTAGAAGGGAGGGGGAGAGACAGAGAGAGAGAAACATGGATGTGAAAGAGACACATTAGCCCTAACCAGTTTGGCTCAGTGGATAGAGCGTCGGCCTGCAGACTGAAGGGTCCCAGGTTCAATTCCGGTTAAGGGCATGTACCTTGGTTGTGGGCACATCCCCAGCAGGAGGTGTGCTGGAGGCAGCTGATCGATGTTTCTCTCTCATCGATGTTTCTAACTCTCTATCCCTCTCCCTTCCTCTCTGTAAAAAATCAATAAAATATATTAAAAAAAAGAAAGAAAGGAAGGAAGGAAGAAAGAAAAGAAAGAAACACATTAATTGGTTGCCTCCTGCACACGCCCAGAGCAGGGCCAGGGCTGAAGCCTGCAACCAAGGCACATGCCCTTGAATGGGAATCGAACCCAAGACCTTTCAGTCTGAAGGTCAATGCTCTAACCACTAAGTTAACTGGCTAGGGCTAAAAAAACCTTTTTAAAAACTGATTTAGCCTTAGTTGACTTTATTTTTTTTTTCATCTTTATTGTTGAGAGTATTACAGACATCCCCTTTTTCCTACCATTGCCCCCCTCCACCCGATTCCTGCCCCGGCCCAGGTCGTCACCCTATTGTCTGTGTCCATAAGTAATATATATATGCATATAAGATCTTTGGTTAATCTCTTCCCTCCTCCCCTCCCCCATCCCCCGAGATTCTTCAGTCTGTTCCATGTTTCTATGCCTCTAGTTCTATTATATTCATTAGTTTATTTTGTTCATTAGATTTCTTGGTCATTTATTTTGATTTTTAGATTCAATTGTTGACAGATATGTATTTATTGCCATTTTATTGTTCTTATTTTTCTTCTTCTTCTTCTTCTTCTTCTTCTTCTTCTTCTTCTTCTTCTTCTTCTTCTTCTTCTTCTTCTTCTTTCTCTTCTTGAAGAATACCCTTCAATATTTCATGTAATACTGATTTGGTGGTGATGAACTCCTTTAGCTTTTTCTTATCTGTGAAGATCTTTATCTGACTTTCAATTCTAAATTATAGCTTTGCTGAGTAATCTTGGTTGTAGGTCCTTGCAATTCATCACTTTGAATATTTCTTGCCTCTCCCTCTGGCCTGCAAAGTTTCTGTTGAGAAATCAGCTGACAGTCATATGGATGCTCCCTTGTAGGTAACTAACTGCTTTTCTCTTGCTGCTTTTAAGATCCTCTCTTTGGCCCTAGCTGTTCGGCTCAATGGATAGAGTGTCGGCCTGTGGACTAAAGGGTCCCGGGTTCAGTTCCAGTCAAGGGCACATGCCTGAGTTGTGGGCTCAATCCCCAGTAGGGGGCGTGCAGGAGGCAGCCGATCAATGATTCTCTCTCATCACTGATGTTTCTCTCTCTCCCTCTCCCTTCCTCTGA